TCTGCTGTTTTTGTTTCGTTCAGATTTTTTTATGTAGTATCACAAAGCTAAAGTCAGACAATTTTGTTTTTGTTTCAAATTTCAAAATTTTACAATCTGAATAACATGTATGCAGCATCTTTGTTTGGATCGTGATTAAAATACACAGGCAAAACCTTAGTTTACTTGCATGGAGACATTTATTTGTATTATTTATTTATTGATTTGGGATTTGTTTTAAAATTTCAAGTTAGTATATCGTTTGACATTTTCATTTTCACAAAGTAATGTGCAACCTTTTGGTCTGATAAATAACAAAAGGACACCTTTTTTAAAAATCTGTCTTAAATCTCATTTTGTTAAAGAAATTGTGAGAAAATTGTATTGTGAAATCAGTATTGTGAATTATAGCACATTGTGAGTTGAGTGAATCGTTACATCACTATATGCTACTAGTTTTTGCTGTGGTATCGAAGTAGTACATTGTTCTTTAAATAATAAAGAACCATATTTTTTTGCTCATCTGAAAAATGATCCGATCTGTGACTCAAAATGTGATATGATAATGTAATATAATCCGAACGAATCGTTACATCCCTATATGCTACTAGTTTTTGCTGTGGTATCGAAGTAGTAAATTGTTCTTTAAATAATAAGTGTTACTTAAATAATAAAGAACCATATTTTTTTTGCTCATCTGAAAAATGATCCGATCGGGGACTCAAAATGTGATATGATAATGTAATATAATCCGAACTGTGTTGCGAGCCCCGATTTGGTAGACATCGCCCAACCCTAATATGCCTATTGTAATACAAAAACCACAAAAAAAAGGTACCAAGTCTATGACTAGATTTCACAATAGCAGAACTAGTAATAACCAAAGCTAAAAAATAAATCTGGCCACATGATGAAATAAAAATTTTTTTTTAGATTACTGCCCAAAGAAACCACCAAAATCATACCAGCCTTTTTTCATTTCTTAAAACTAATTGCACATGAGAGTTTATGTGTTCCATGACTAATGATGCACCGAAATTCCTTTTTTACAGAAACACTGAAACAAGAGTTCTCATTTAGCCGGAATCTGTATCTGTATTTAAACAATTATAATATGTAATTAAACAGATAAAAAAAATAAACAATTAATAGTAAAGTTCTTCAGCAATGAGTCACCTCTCAATATTTTTCCTTCATTTTTTTTACAAATTTCTACTCTAGAATAATAAAGTACTCAAACGGTCATTGATTTCGGCCCTTGAAAACAATTAAACTGTAAACGAAAAGAGTCGGGGGTTTTTTTGCCGTTTCAGAGAAATATTTTCAGTTACATCACTAGTAACCCATGACTGGCAGACAACCAAAAAAACTATACTCTAGCATGTTCACCTTCTTTGCATGAAGATGTTCTTCCGTTGAATATCATTAGTTTTAGCCTAGGAGGCTGGTTAAGAGTTTGCTTGTTTAAGCACATAGATAAAAATCTTTGATCTTCCATTCAGACTAATGAATGCAAAGCACCATGACCCTCAACATAAGCAGTTATGAATGTAAATCTGAAAATTGGGACCATACCGTGAAAGGATGGTCCTGCTGTTATTCTCTCTATATGCTAGACGTGGCATAACTGCTGAAATGCAATCTAACACACGCTTGACTATACAATTATTGTGTTTAAAGAATCCGTCACAGTGAGATGCGTGACCATAAAATTTCCAATCATGATAAAATCAGAAGTTGACCTAAATTCACAAAGCCTCATATACCACCTTGAGACTTTATATAACAGACTTTCATAAACAGGTACATCTTCACTGCTCTTAACAGAGGGCATGAGGAAATAATTGACAGTAAGCTATACATTAAAGAAAAGGGAAGTGAATGCTTTTGAGTCTCAACTGGATGTAATTGCTGCACAAGGGGTTTAATTCATACCTATGATTCTTGAATGGATTAAACAATTTAGTGCTAAAAATAAACCATTAGTTCTAAAGCAGAAGTTAAGAGCTTGCATTTGACAGCTCTGCGGATCAAGAGAATTACACTTATCTGCAAATCTGACACTGTTATACAACATAGGGATATTTTATGAATACATAACATAAGCACACATTAATAGTATCAGGAGGTGGGAACACTGCATGGAGAGTCCTTTTAACACTTAAAACTTAACTAATATTGTTAGTAAAACTTAATTACCAGTGACCCATATTGTACCACATAGTGACTAATCATTGTTATGGGCAAGCTTATAGTCACTATTGAGTTACATACTTGTAATTAACAATAGGTAACAGTAACAGTGATCCATATTAAATGTATTTGACCTATTCTAACAGTGAAAATATCTTTGTTCAGTTTAACTATATCATTTAGTACTTAATCCTTTGTTTCTATTCATGATCCAAACAGTTGCTGCTAGTTAGTGCAAATTTGTCAGTGGATACTATAGTAATGTGTGGTTCAGATAAACCTTTCACTCCTAAATAGTACCTATTTCAGTTTTACCATTTACTTATCATAAGAACATGTACTTGGTTACTAGCTGCTGTTCTCCCAGTACTAACTGACTAGAATAGTACTACTGTGTATTGCAATTAATAGTTAAGAATTGACTATGACAGTGACTATTTGTCGAACTAGTAGGCTCTAGTAATGAATGAACTAAATATATACTAGGACTAATGACGTTAGTTAGCTATTGAATTATATAATTGTAATTAACAATAAGCAACGGTAACAAAATACATTGTATGCCATTTTAAGTGATAAATGCTAAAACGACTTGCCATAAACCACAACTTAAAATAAACAGATACAACATTTAACTTCCTCATTTGGAGTTTTACGACACCTTGCTGTAATATTCATTATAAGTTACCTCAACAGATTGTAATAAACCGTAGTGCTAAATTAAAATAGCACTTTGCTAGCGCAAGCACTATCACAATCAATTGTATTTATCTGGAATTAGAAAAAAAAAAAAAGATGGAGGTCAGCTACCATGCGGTTACGTGTCAAAATTGTCAAGCATGGACGTACCGCACAGAGACAAAACGCTTCCTGAGACAATTACGCTGATATGAATGGAGGATAGCAAGAGCTTTGTGCATCACGCACTGACACTCCACTCACAGCGAAATTAATCGTGCATTACATCTCCAAACGTCAAATTAAAAGTGCGCCACAAACCCGCCCGCCTTTATACTCACCAAGGGTCAAACTCGTGAATAATGCTCTCGAAGCGAATAACTGCGAAAAGTCGCGAGCTGAACCCTGCCAACCAGGCCAGAAAGAGAATGGTGAACGACAGCAAAGACTGCCATCCCGCCGGCTGCGTCAGTCCCCCGGACAGGCCTCCTCCGCTGCCGCCGCATCCAGCCGGGGAGCTGGGCCGTCCGTTGCCCGAGACCGAACCTCCGGCGTTGGAGTTGGCTTTGTGCTTACAGTCGGAGGCGGTGTGGTGCTCCGCCATGTTCTGGAGGATTTGGTTAGAAGAGCACTTCCCACCGCCACGCAGCCCTCTTTCCACCAACCCACTCCCTCCTCGGCGCCAATATTTCTGCACAACCAGGTCTTTGCTCCAACTGCAGGTGTTTGGCGTTGTGTATGAACAATCTGGATTTATTTGCAGTAGATTCCGCGTCAGAGTGGCATGCTAACCGGCTTGCACACGAGATCCACTGTAGGAGATGGGAAAAATAGGGCGGTTCTGCTCCATACAGCAGGAAGAATCGTTCAGCCTCTCATAGCGAGACAGGTAGAACAAGGCGGGTCATACTTCAGCCAATCCGCTGCAAGGAAACCACTGACAGAAGCCGTGGATCAGCCAATGAGAGCACGCACAGCCTCGAACGTTGACGAACACAAACGGAAAAACGTTGACAGGAGGTTGGCCAATCGTGACTCTGGATTTCAATAACGGACACTCGTTTGAGCCAATCAGCATGAAGAACCGTCGCGGCGCTGTACGCGATACACCAATGAAATAAATGAATTTTGCATCGAAAAAATGCTGCCTTCACAGAGGCCACTACGCAAACGAAATTTTCATGCGGATGTGAAGCGATAATAAATCATCAAAAACATTTTGGGCTTATTTTAGAAGCTGCGGTTGTTTATTTATCTTGCGAGAGTTGTCAACAGTGGACATGAAGTTTATGCCTGAAATTTATTGCGTTTTATGTCGAAAAGGGCGCATGTTTCACTCAAAAATGCCATTTACTCACCCTCATGTCGTTCCTTCGGAGATTTTAGGCGCAATGACTGCCTTGGTGACCAGTAAATTCATTATAAGAATAAAGATGCAATGCAATCAGAGAAAATGACCACTTTTTTGTTTCACGGATGAACGTTACAAGGGTTTGAAACGATATCAGGATGACTAAATAAAGCAAAAATGTTTGGCATACATGCTACATAACGGTATATTGCATTATTGCATGCTTTGCATATGTCTGTGTTTGTCATGGCAGCTATTGATGCCTGCTTTTGGACACAATATGAACAAATATTGCGCAATGATCCTTGAAGAAACTGTGAAGCTGCAGCAGTGAAAAGATTTAACATGGCACAAGAAGACCAGCTAAACAAGAACACCCTGAGCACACCACAAAAATGTTCTTTAACTGTATTCATATTTTAGAACATGTAATCAGCATAAAACAAAGACAATTTGAAGCAAAATTGCATACGATATTTTAGCGAGTTAAGCTGCACTGAAAACAATTAAATTGAACTTGAATGACTTAACAATTTACGAAAGCCATATCAGCTACAATCTTTCCAAAAGTCACTGAAAACAAATAATTAAAAAAATATGGCTAAATAAAATGGTTTTTATGGATAATTACATTCTCAAGCACCTGCAAGCACTATTCTTTTAAAACCTTAAGGGTGAAGACAGGATGTTTAATTCATATAAATATTTAAGTGCATACCTACTGCTTTAAAGGGTTTGGAGATTAAAAAAATATCCTATGATAAATCAAAATATATGTTTAAATATAGTATAGGAAGCTTACTGCTGCATTACCGTACAGGATGGTGATCTGAAATTCACAAAGTGAATTCTTTGCCTTGATCAGGTTCTCTCATTCTCCTGTATCCCCCTAAAACATGATCCCAGGTTTAGACTCAACCACTGCAAGCTTATGTTTGCTTGAAACACATTTTTTAAAAACCACATGCAGTATAGATCATACAGCTTTTTCAAGGTTTTTTGCAGACCAGCATGCAGAAATTGCTAGATCAGCTCATGAGACATCACAGGCACAGTGGTAGAATATATCAGTTCCAGAGCATCTTCTTTTACTGTGTATGTAGCAAGACAAGATTTAATGTAAAAAAAAAAAAACACTTCTTAACGCACACATTTCCATATGAATTATATTTGTAACTTCACTTTGCTTTACTTCAAGTGTAATTCAGCATTAAGCTTGAAGGTCCTGTTTAAGAATAACAAGGTTTTTAAAAGCAACCTTCATCGGTCAGTGGACTGCTCTGATTTTAAAGCATATTCAAGTTATTCATTAATGTGACATTGCAGTCGTAGTGTTTAACAGTGACCACTAAACCAAAAGTTAAACCTTTAGTTTATTTAAACATGACTTTATCTACAGTGCAAAGTATCTGTCTCTGCAGACAACATCCAACATTAAGCATATGTGACCCATGGACCACAAAACCAGTCATAAGGGTCAATTTCTCGAAATTGAGATTTATACATAATAAATAAGCTTTCCATTGATGTATGGTTTGTTAGGATAGGACAATATTTGGCCGAGATACAACTATTTGAATATCTGGAATCTGAGGGTGCAAAAAAATAAAAATATTGAGAAAATCACCTTTAAAGTTGTCCAAATGAAGTTCTTGGCCATGCATATTACTAATCAGAAATTAAGTTTTTATATATTTATGGTAGGAAATTTACAAAATATCTTCATGGAACATCATCTTTACTTAATATTCTAATGATTTTTGGCATAAAAGAAAAATTTGACCCATACAATGTTTTTTTTGGCTATTGCTAAAAATATACCCCAGCGACTTAAGACTGGTTTTGTGGTCCAGGGTCACATATGTCAATATCACTGCATTGAAAAATCAATAGATGCATTTAAGCCAGTTGATTTGTTTGTCTTTTCTTAAAGCATCTGGAAAAAATAAGTATTTTTTTCCTTGCACGTGTGGCTTTGGTTATATTGTAAAACCCCACAGAAGTTTCCTCTGTGGAAGGAAAAATTAGTTGTGCCTTGTAGTATTTGAATATAACGTCCTTGTTATATGTCCTTTTCATCAGCAAAATTACAGTGGAAAATTTATTTGGATAGATGCTTAGCTGTCAGGGATTCATCACAGTCACTTCAGTCACCATCCAGGATAATTACCCGATCACAGTCACCTGAGTTCTGATCACCCGCACCTGCTGTCACCAATCAAGCCACACTACAAATACACACACAGCACAGTCACTCACTGTCCGGTCTACCGTTCACTCCTACGAACTTCTCTGGACTCTCTCTGCCAAATTCTCCTAGAACGAATTACCTGCTGTTCCTCCCGCGATCCTCCAACGACTCCTTGGAAACTGTTCCACGATCTCCAACGTAACCGGCATCCGATCCTTACCATCAGAACTCAGATAAGAACCCTGGAACCATTCACTGTGTTGACACTCACCTGCCTTTA